CTCGGAGGCTCGCGCCGCGGAGCCCGCTGCTGCCACCTGCGGGCGGAGAGCAGAGCCCAGGCGCTGCGGGCCCCGACCGCCTGCTCCCGCCGTGCGGCAGCCGGCGAGACCAAGTTTCTTGCGGAGCCTGGAGCAGCTGCTGGGAGCATGCCTTTCGGGGCTAGGAAGAGAGGGCGAGCTGTGGAGATCCACCAGGGAACGGAGTCGTTGGAATGCAGCGCCGCGAGGAAAGAGAGGAGCTTTTAGGACGCTAAATAGCAAGCGTCTGCCCTGCTCGTCTCTTCTCTGGAGAGGTTAAGGCTGATGAAGCTGCATCAAGCAGACAGCTTCCCGCGGCACATGGGATTTGGCCCTACCGAGAAAATGGCTTTAGTGTAGGATGGTTTAGTCGGGGGACCACAGTAAGGAAGCCTAGTGATTGCTTTTTTAAAATAAATATTATGATGTATCAGAACGGCTAACGAGGAAGATTGACTAGGATACGGGGACTGTATTCTGGAGTCTGCGGCTGAATTTGCAAGAATGGCTTGTCAACCCTAGAAAGCCAAAACAGGGTTCGACTTGTTAAATTTATGAATACGGATGTTTTATTTGTGAGAGTTTCTCTTTTTAAATCTTCGCATTTGTAAATGAGCTTTTCTTCTAGAAAGTGTGTTCAACGATTAATGAAATTCCAAGAGACAGTACATGCCATGTGTTACCCGCTCGGGGTTTGACAGGTAATAGGTACTCTACAACTGAGGGCGAAACGGAAGCCAGAGGAACCTAGTAGCAAGTATTTCTCGTTGTTGTTACCATTCCGTCTTTACACACAAGTTAAGTGTCTGGTCCCTCCTGGATGGCAGATACTTTGCATTGCCAAACAAGAAATAGAGCTGTACTGTATGCTAACGCTGAATGTTGAAATAGATGCCGCCGTACTGTCAGGCGCATTCTATTACATTTTTAAATTGACCATAGCAACAATGCATTTGTGTGGATCCACCCATAATCCCAAAGTGGTTTCCTTCCACAAGCAACCGCCTTGGTAATGTTTCTCTGTGCAGGTGAAAGGAAAACAGAGCTCTCTGTATCTCCATGTCCCTCCCCATCTGTGCCCATGGGCTGAGTCCTTTCAGTACATACCATCTTTCTTTTTGTAAGTCTTTTGTAAGACTCGTACATACCATCTTTCTTTTTGTAAGTCTTTTGTAAGACTCGTTTTCTAGACCCAGGAGGTGTTTGTCTGGAAGGCAAAGTTGTAGTCCTGAGACAAATCCAGTAGTGGATGGGAAATCGTGAATAAAGACTCCAGCTGCTGCAGCGTACAGATGGGACACCCAGGACCTGCAGTATTCTGCACCGTGAGCATTCCCATGGCGATGGAGCGCTAGGTATCCATAGTGGTGAGCTGCTCATTCGTAGAATCTGGATTGGATTCCTTCCTTATTCCCTGTGGCCTTTCTCTGGGATCACCTCCTTAATAAACTACTGTACTAAAATCATTGCGTCGGGGCCTGCCTCTTGAAAATCCCACCCTGAAGCAAGTTCCAAGGGCCTTTATTCCTGATCAGTCACCTGCACAGTATTCTCAGGAGCGTGAGCCACAAATATCAATGTTGAATATTAACTGCATGCACCTTCTATCTTAACCTGCAAATTTTACATCTCGTTCATTCCTCACAGGAAACCCATGAGTCAGTACAGTGCCTCACTTACACACACAATAAGTAAAAGAGAAATTAAGTATTTTGACCAGAAGTATACATGTGCTCAGTGACAGAATTAACAAATTAAGGCACCTCTGTGAGACACTAAAATCTGCTCCCAAACCACTGTGCCATACTCCCTCACTCGGATGTCACTGCACTTAAACCATTCTTTTGGAATTTTGTCCAAGAATGATGATTCACCTATTACAAAGGAAATCCACACATCACAGCCTTTAAGTACAGTATAGATCATGCCTGACTGAAGGAAAGACGCCCTAGTTAGAGACGCAGTCCCTCTCCTGAAGGTGGCTGTGTCCTTCTTGTTCCATTTCCTGTGTCCCTGGAACGAGTGCCTCGGTAGAAGAAACATTAATCACAACCCAGAGAAGAGTGTCTGGTTCAGAGAAGAGCGTGGAGGGGAGAGACGTCTCAAATTGGAATGTCGGTTGCATTTTTATTCAGAAAAAGGACCGTAAACTATTGAGCTCTAAGGTACCAAGAGCTTGCGTTCACTAGCCTGATGACATAGCTATTGTTAATTACCTTGTTTCTGTGGGGAAAATATGTTACGTATTCTACACCTCCATCTGGCTCTCCTTGGCATCCTGCTTTAACGTACTTTTCAAGGTGGTTTCCACTTATTATCTCATCTGTCTTCCAGGACAACTCAGGGACTGCAGTTGGGGCAGCCACTAAGCAAGTGCCAGTCTGTGCAGCATTCATTTCAGTAGCATCGAAGCTCCAGCCTGGTTCTGGAGCTCCCCTCTGAGCTTCACCCCTCACAGCAATGACAATTATCTTTACAGTCACGGGGCCAGTGTTTTTCCTGTGTGGATAATAATAGCTGTTAGGAAAATGAAAATAATTTTAAACATTGAGAGTAAATAAAAAGAAAATAATCACTTAGTCTTGTGCAAAAATAATTTCCATCATTTTTGGCACAAATTAGTTTTTACACAAACAAGATATTTTGCATAATTTAACACTTTTTAATTTAGCGATAGACCAGGAACATATATCCAGGTCATTAATCATTAGACTCATGGACTGTGTGGACTATTTAGTTTCATAACGCATTCTCTACTATTTACTATGTAATCATACAGAAATGTGCTTTTTTATCTATGAAATGGGAGGAATGACAGCACATGTATTTTATAGGGTTGTTAATGTTGACATGTACAAAGCTCTCAGAACAGTGCCTGTAAACTTACTTACTACTTTAAGATCATCATCTTATTCTTCATACCACATAGCTTTAATATTGTACACAATACCGAGTGTCCTAATTATAGCTTTTCTCATTTCTGTAGTTTTTCTGTTAGAATAATGGCCCCCTAAACATGGTCTCTGTAACAACTGGAACCTATGACTATGCTGTGAAGCTGTCATCTCCTTCAGCACAACAGATTTTTCAGAACTGATGAAATCAGAGCTTTGAGATGGGCGAGTTTTCTGGATTATGTGGGTGGGCTTGATTCTAATCGCATGAGCCCTGAAAGGAAGAAAAATATTCCAGGGTACAAAGGGGCAAAGTTAGTGGACAGAGGACTGCGGCCGTGAGTCCAACAACATGGGCAGCAAAGGTAAGGAAGTCATCCCCATGACCTCCACAGAGAATCGCTTCGTGCCTTCAGCTTTGCATTAGCCCTGGGACCCAGGCCAGGCGCCTGCATGCACACTGTAACATGACGAGTATTTATCATCCTAAACCACCAAATCTGTAGTGATGTGATACTACAGCAATAGAAAACCAATACAGCTTGCTTCCAGTCTTTCAGTATTACCAATTTTATAATAATAAATTTGTTGGTATGTTTTGGCTTGTGTTATCAGTTGTGATTCAAGGAAATGGAGGAAATTGTAAGGCAATACCAAATCTTGTCTGGCAGGGTTCTCTAAGTTTATACCTGTAGGCATTGTACTTCGTATTTGTACTAGGCCTTTACCACAATAGAGATTACCACTTGGAGCAATCTTTCCTGTTTTCCATTTTAATTTGGATCCCCTATAAGTAATGATTATTAAACACCTGGTAAAGGTGATAAAATGGAGTTTCCTATAAATATATCACATTGACATTTCTGTGATGATTCCTCTTGAAAGTTCAATTCTATTTCCTAATAAAGCTATCTAGTGACAGATTCTATAGGAGAGAACCATAGCAATAAAACTCCATTTATCTCTTTAACCAAACTGCTGGCCTTGAGAGAAAACTTGGAAGAGAAATTAAGCCAAAATGACAGATTATGCCATGAAAAGCACTGAAGCTGTGGTGGCCAGACTGCTGTATTAAAGGTGGGCTGCATCCTCCCTTAAATGGCTTCACCTTGGTAATTTCAGCAGATAGTCCGTACAACAGCAGGTAGGGTGCCAGGGATCAACAAGTCGAGCAGCCCTCTCCTGAAATCTGAAATGATCCACAAACCAAACTTTAGAAAATTGATATGATGCCTCAAAGGGAAAACTCTACACCATAAAATGATTTTGTGCACAGAATTATTTTAAAATATTGTATAAAATTATCTCTAGGCTATATGTATGAGTTTATACCAAGCACAAATAAACTTGGGGTCCCATCACCAACTTGTCTTATTCTGAATATGCAAATATACCCAAATCTAAATTTTTAGAAATCCAAAATCAGAAACACTCTGGTCCCATGTATTTTTGCTGAAGGATACTCAGCTTGTACTAGGATCTCAGTCCTTACTTGCTTGTGATCCATTTTGTGTATTAAGTTGAATATTTTAAACATTTCAGTCATACTTAGTAGAGATTGTTTTATGCATGACAATATAATTACCTTATAAACATGTGAACCTTAGATATAATATTAGTGAATTATCTTAGACTAGCTGTCATCTTAGAAATGAAAACATTTGTTGGAAATCTAGAAAAGCCTTATTTTTAATAATTTTGTTTTCCCCTACTTTGTGCTGATATTTTTTAGCATAAGAATCAAAACATTAGTGTAATAATAAGCATACTGGTGCAATTACTATTGCTATGCAGCAGCCAGCCGCAACATGGCGTCGGTTATTTTGCCATGCTCATTGCTTCTGTGGATAAGGCGTTCAGAGGTGCACCTGTGAATTGGTCTCTGCTCTGCAGTGTGTGGGGTTCCCACTGGGAAGACTCCAGCCCTGGAAGGGACTCCATTGCTAGGGAAGGGACCAAGATGGAGATGCATACCCACACACGTGCGCCATTGTGACTTCCAAGCCAGGATAGCTGCCCCACACTCTACCTACATGTCAGCTACCTGTGACCCCTGGTCTGGAAGACTGGCTCCCTCAACAGCTACCTGAGCATAGTTAAGCTCCTTGCATTGTCGTGAGAGGGCCAAGTATAGCAAAGGATGCCCCAAAACGGGGTGCATGCCACAGTGCCCTTTGTCACTAACTTCAAGAATCACACAGGTATTCTCCCTGTTCTTTAGTAGTGACACGGAAGTCCTAAGCCCACTTTGTTTGAAGGAGGCATCCTAGAGCCCCCACATTGATACAGAATGTCAGGGAATGTAAAAGCCAAGTTTCAAATTATTGGAGCTATTAAAATACAGTTAAAGGAAATTTACTGTCTTACAAATTAAAGCCACGCTAGTAGGACAAACACACCTCCAGCATCAGCACTCTGGAAGGGAGAGGCTGGAGGATAAAAAGTTTAAGCCCAGCCTGGGCAACATAGACAACTAGCAAGACTGTCACAAAATACAGTAAAAAACCAACCAACCAACCAACAAACAAACAAACAAAAGCACTAGGGATGTAACTCAGTGTGATGTCCCTGGGTTCAGTTCCCAGTACAATCAATCAATCAATCAATCGATGAAAATTTAAGCATTCATGTTACTGTGTTAAAATAAAAAGTTATCTTTATACTGATATTTAAGGTAGTCCATAATTGATCATAAAAGTAATCACTGCTCTAACCAGAATTGAATTTAATAATAAAATGATAATTTGACTTTGGTTTTATATACTGTGGATGAGACAAATAGAGAGAACATATTCTATCCACTTAAGTGAAAGTTAAAAATTAGAATCATCTGCCAAAATTATGAGATGAGGAATCAAGTATTTAAACCACTCAATAGAATGAGACTAAACAAATGGTTAGTTTTTAGTGAGGCAATAGGAGTATGTTCTCTAATTTTTTTTCTGTGTAATTAAGATTTATTACATAGCTTGAAAGTATTTTTCCAGATAATGTAGTTACTGTAAAATTTCTTTATTTGCTGTGCATTGCACAGTTTATCCTTCTACAACCCTAATAAACACCAATTTAATAGAATATTAGGCTGTGACAAAGAGAAATGCTAGGGAGATAGATGTAGCAGAGCTGTTCAGAGCAGGATGAAGTCTAACTTCTTACACAGTGGTATGTTTGGAGCTTCTGGAGAGCTGAGAGAGAAATCCCAAACACAACTGTGTCCTCTTCACAGTGCAGACATCAGTAAAATAGACATAATATTCCAATCAAATACTTGTTTTCACTTTTTAGGGGGAAGGGTGTATTCTTCAGCCAGATGCTGCCTTTAACTTGTCCCTTTTAAAATCTGGAGGTGGTGAAGGGGCGGCGTTTTGGATGAAGCTTCTGTTGCTGTGAGCTGGACACCTTCGCGCCATTAACTTCTGCTCAGGGCACATAGCCCCTTCTGGGACTGATCAGTAACGATACAGCGATTCTCAGGTGTTTCTCAGGCTGGTAAATGTGGGGCTTCCTTGGGGAGTCCTTGCAATGGTCTTGGGAGGGAGGAACCCCAAGGCACCACATCTCCAAGTCTCTGGCTTCATGTACATCTTATAGTTGTCTCGGAGGGAGGATGCAAAGGTATCTGTTTCCAAAACATCTTCGGCTTCATGTGTGCCTTTTTGCCAAAACAACATGGGCACTAATGTTAAAGCACAATAAGCTTCTCATTAGTTATAATACTCTTCAGGCTGATAATGACCCCTCTGAGCCTTACCGTGTTACCGCCCGGCATCTTCAGCCAGAAGTGTCTGCTTGATGAAGATTCTGCCTTGGAGCCACAGGGAATTTCGGAGTACTCCCCACCTGTGACGTAGGAGTTCAGGGGACACTGCAGAACTCCACCCAGGCCTCCCCCTATCCAGCCACCTTGCCACCTTTACCTTGGTGCCACTGCCCATGCTGGACCTACAAAAACGTAAAAGGTGGCAAAAAGCATCATCCTTCAGACTTTGCCTTCCGTCTACACATGCCATGTAGAGATCTCATCCTGAACCAGACCTGGGAGAAAGAGACCATGAAGCACCTGCTGTTTCAGTTACTCTCATTCTCCCTCTCACATGCCTTCCCACAGCCCTCCAGTGTCAGGAGGCGGTGAGTTTTCCTCCTCTCCTTGCAAGTCAGAACCCTCCTTGAGCCTTCTGAGAGGAGGCAGCGATAGAAGGCGCAGTACAGGGAGAGCAGCCAGCGTGAGGAAACAAAGCTGTTACAGCTGCTGACAGCTGTAAGGGGAAAGGAAGAAACTCAGATTTCAGATTTCATCTTTAGGGGCAAATGTTCAGAAGCTGAGGAGAGACTCAAAAAATTACTGTACCAAAAATAAAAATTATTAAGAGCCACACATCAATACAGGTGGGGGATGAGGGCCGTGGCAGTTCTGAGGAGGTAAAGTTACCGCTGCCAAGGTAGGGCAGAGCATAGTGTTTAAGCTGGCTCAGGTCTGAAAGGTAGAAAACATCCTGATGTCTGGTTAGCAACAGTGGCAAGAGCTATGTCACAGGCAGGTTGCCTGACCAGCTGCTCATGTGATGGACAGGAGGAAGGGACTAGAAGTTCAGTGAGTCTCTCAAAACTAGGGCCAGAAATCATGGGTTCAAATCTTCCTACTAAGGCCAAGACATGTACAAATGTATTTTAACCTGAAGTATCAG